ACACACACACACACACTCACACTCACACACACACACACGCACACATGCGCACACATGCACATCTGCACATGCACAGGAACCTTCTCTACCTATCTAGCAAAAGTCCTGGGGTAGGTTCTCTTTTGTTGGCTTTGATCACAAGCCTGTCCCTCAGTCAGCCACTGTAGTGCTCACTGCCTGCCTGGATCACTTCTTATTCGTTGTCCCTGAGTGGCTGAGCCCCACAGGAAGCAGGTGGTGAGGGTATGACGTAGGACCTGATCGAAATATGAAGGGTCTCAGAAGAGGGTCCTAAATCCAGCTGTACTTAGATGATGAAGCGTCTTCGAAGTTTCACAGCCTGGACAAGAGCCTTGCAACTCCTGCCTCTCATGCCTATGAGTTTAGCCAGAGCATGAAAGAAAGTCATGGCCTTCAGCCTGGTCCCTAACTGCTGTGTCCTGGACATTAGCAGCTGCTCCTCACAGCCACCTCTCTGGCAGAGCAGGAATAGGGCCTAGCTCTGCATAGGGAGGCAGTCAGCAGCTAGCTCTGTCTGCTGATCGATGTTTGCTTCCGGACAGGTGGAAGGGACTGTGAACTCGCTGGCTGTCCTGTTCTCAGTGTGTCAATGGTTCCTGAAGTTTGTGTCTGAAATCAATGCTCTTGGCTCAGCCAGAAGTCCACAGTTACCTGGTCAGGGGATGGGCGTGTGTGTGTGTGTGTGTGTGTGTGTGTGGTGACGTGTAAGATTCCCACGTAGCTCTCCTGGAGATAAGTCCATCCTTGCTCGGCTTCTACCTGTCTAACTGGGGTGAGATTTACCTGCCTCTCACCCCCAGTGAAGGTTGGTGGGCATTTAACTCTACCGTGTGATGCCTGGCAGACACACAGCTGGCATGGACCATTGCAACCATCCCCATTATACTTGTCAGCAGTGTACATATATCTTGGGACAAATGGTGCTGAAGAGAGGCCAGTTTAAGGGCACAGCTCTTGGACCTGGGCTCTACTCTGTGGCTCACAGCCTGAGTGATAGGTCTCTTTCCACTTGACTGATTGCCTAGACTGTAGACAGGGCTCAGGCAGAATGCCCCCCTGTGCCTCTTGACTTCCCGCCCATGGTTCCTACCACAAATGCTTATCCTGATGCCCATGGGCACAGTTCTTTCTGACTCCTTAGATGGGGTATCAATCAGAGGCAGGATGAGCACTGGAGTAGGAGGCTAGGCTTGTTTCCCGGGTGGTCTCTCTCTCTCTCTCTCTCTCTCTCTCTCTCTCTCTCTCTCACACACACACACCCACACACACACACACACCGTCCCATGACCATGCAGATGATTCACATGTGTCTATGAGCACTGGGTTGAGCAGGACAACTGTTCCTGAGGGGAATTCTCCACCATTCTCATCATTCTTGTTCTGAAGACATACTCATGCCCATGGTGCCTGCCTTGGTCTACACACAAGGACCTGTCTCTGGTCTCAGGGAACTGGTGTGACAATCAGGGATGTGAACAAGAAGCCAGACTCCTGGGGGGGGGGGGAAGTCAAAGCAAGAAAGGGGAAGTAGGGATGTCCTTGGGGTGGTCTTTCCCAGGGGAGTCTTGAGATGCTCTGAAGGAAAAGCAATGGGAGAAATAGTACTCCTGCCTTAAAGAGGAGTGGGTGGTCAGGACAGGATTGGGCTGGTGGCAGTCCAGTATGCCTGGAAGGGAGAATGAAGCCAGTGGAGGGTAGAGGCTACACCAACATCTATGAGAGGCAGAAGAAATCCTATCCTTGGAGAAGGTGTTCTTGAGGAGCCCCAGGTGCTGCCAGGCCAACAAAGACACCGAGGAAGGACCTTTTGGTTTCCACAGGAGTTGGTTGTCAGAACTGCTGCCAGCTGCTGGGCAGAGAGGCCAACGCTTCAGACTGCTACTTATGGAGACAGATACCGAAGCCTTCGGGGCGTTTCTCTGGATGGCTTTGCTGTTCTTGCTGTCCTCATGTCAAGGAAGGGTTTCCAAATAAGCTGATGGCTTCCTCTGGCTGCCCCAGCCTGAGGCTCTAAGGGCACACAGGCTTTGCCACTGAGAGAATGGACAGAGCCCCAGCTATAGTCTAGTCCAGGAGCATTCTCTCAGACTGAAGGACAGCCACATAGGCTCCTGGGAATATATGCATGCACAGGACAACTTATCTCCGTGCTGTGCAATGTAGGAATTATTTTTATGTGCTTGTGGCCACCCATGCTTTACAAAGAAGGAGGTGGGACTTCAGTGAGAAATGTGTCCTTGGGCCCTGTGCTGGGAGCAGTTATATTGAGGCTGGGCACATTCTAGAATACCCCTTCCTTCAGCTCTGGAGGGAGGCAGGATGTCTTTCCTGGTGGTAAGGATGACATGACCCACCCTGTCCACACCTGCTTAGAGACAGTCCTCCTGTGTGGCTGTCCTCTGTCCTCTGTCACTGAATCTTGAGCATGGGTGTGCTCTCCATAGGGAGGCTATAACCATGAGCCTGATAGAAGACTCACCATGTTCTAGAAAGAGATGTGATTTTGATTATGAATTGAACTTGGTCCCTGCTTGTAAGCTGGAGGGCGGAATGTGAGATCTAGAGTACAGTGCTTGTGGGAGTTGGAGCCCTTTCTCTGGTGGGTCTTTTTTGTTAGGTGACCTTGGACAAGACACTGGTTCTATCTGTGAAGTGTGGCTGATAATGGGGGAGTGGGACAGCAGGGTGAGACCTTCACCTCTGGCTTTACACAGGCCTCTGAGGCCCTTGCCCAGATAGGCAGCCGAGTGTGGCTGTGTATGTGCATGTGTGCTCTACCCTAAGGCGCCCTTGAACTCATTACAGGAGCTGTCTAAGATCCTAGACACAATGGAGCCCTGTAGTGTTCTGTTCATTTTTTTGTCTACTAGCATGCTGTGAGCTCTTTGGGGTGTCTGGTGGAACCCACTGAGTGCGACTTGGATTTGCTGTCCCTGAGAGGACAGAGAAGCCTGTAAGCAGGGGATAGTGTCCTTTACTCCCACCTTTGACTTCTGTTCTCTGGACACCAGGGCTGGGTTGGGTGGACTAGGGGCATTTGAGCCATTTTTCTTCTTGGTCACTTAGGAGAAGGTAGAAATCAGGACACCATGTGCCTGTCAAAGGCAGGCTAGGAGCCTGGGGACCTGGGAATGGAGTTCCTGGGGATACCCATTTTCTCTCTATTGTAGTCCTTAACAGTGACTAGACAGGAAGGCATGGCCATCTGAAGGACACACTTGGATCTGAGACACTCCCCACCAATGTGCAACTAGATAAGCAACTATTCCTTGATGAGCCTGAGTGTCTTTATCTGTAAAGTGGGTCCATGGGTCATATGGCCTCCCAGAGGATCATAATGGCAGCAGAGTCACTCTAGGTAAGTCCTTAGCACAGAGGCCAGCATAGATTGCTCGAGCACCCAAGTCCCACTAGCTGTTTGATTCAGCCCCCTCCTCAGCTAAGAACTGTACGTATGCTCATCTCATTTAACCTTCAACCCAGTCCCATAACTCAGGGAGCCCCATAATGTCCATGTGATCACAGGAAATCCAGAGACCGAGTGCTGATGTGCCTTGCACATGGGGTTGCTCAGTCGAGGAGGTAGGATAAGCATCACCTGAGGTAGGAGAGTTTTCTGGGGACTCTGGGGCCTGGATGAGGAGCTGGCTCCCTGGAATTGGGCTGGTCGGTTTTGCAGAACTCTGAAGAAGTTTCCAGAGCCTGGGCATCTGGGTGGCCAGAAAGCCATGCTTCTTGGCTCGGATCCTGCATTTAGTGTCTCTGCTATACAAATGCATAATTATATTTCACATTATGGAGGAGCTGGAGACCAGGGGGCTGGGGAGTTTGGTGAAGCTTGTGTTCTGCCTGTAGTCCTGCCTTCTTGGCCCGATTCGTCAGTGTTAGGGTTGAGCTGGGGGTCAGCCCTATGATAAAATGGGATTTCCCTGAGGCCTGCTAGCCTGATCTGTCTGCCAGGCTGAACGGTCCAGGCTCTGCAGGAGGCAAAGACCTGAGGCCCAGACAATAGGCTCCAGGAGACTGGGAGAGGAGAGTACCAGGGGTGCCTTCCAGACAAGAGTGGGCAAGGGGAGGGGCAGCACATGGAATCAAATCAGCGGAGAGGCCAGAAGGAGGAGCACAGAAAAAGCAGGAGATGAAAGCTAAATACAACACAAGAAGGGAAGAAGTGATATGATGCTAAAGAGGGTGGGGTGTGCCTGTGTGTGACCCTGAGCTTCCTGTATAAGGGGGAGTGATTACCTGAGCTCAGAGACGAGCCTGTGTGGATGGATGTGTTGACTAATCCCACCCTGAATGTGCATATATGACTAGGACTGCACCTGTGCACCTTAGCCATCGCGTTCCTCATCACATGCATTTTGTGCAGGTGTCGCCTGAGCTTGGTATCCTGCTGTGTGCAGCCCGTCCAGATTCTCTTGCCTGCCTGTAGTCTGAGTATATATGCTCGCCATGCACCTGTGTGTGCGCGTGTCCCCGGGAAGATGTGTGTGTATGGGTGTGTGTGTGTGTGCCACGCGCGTGCGCGCGTATGTGTTCGCGCGCGCGCGCTCCAGTGCGCAAGTGGCTGGTGCGTGTGGGGGGCAGCTGGGGCCAAGAGGGGCCACCGGGCCAGGCCAGGGCGGTGGTGGGCGGGATCAGCGGCGCCGAGGCGCAGGGCGGGCGTGCTTTCGGCGGAGAGTTGGAGGAGTTACCGAGCTAGGCTACTGTGGCAGCGGGGCGCGGAGCTGGGTGCGCGCAGAGCTTCTGCCTCCCGCCGCCTCCTCGCCCTCCATTCCTGGTTCCCCGTCTTCCCCCGGCCACGCCGCGACTGCGCTGCCACCGCCTCCCTGGGAACGGTCGCCGGGGGAGGGTGCCCTGTACGATCGAAGCCCGCTGGGAGGTGCAGGACACCCACACCCGGCTCAGGGGAGCGCGCCCGGCCCTACCCGGGATCAGATAACTGCGGCGGGGGAGGGGGTGGGTCGGCGGTTCTTGTCGCGGGACTGAGCGACAGAAGCCAGCGGCGAGCCCGGAGCGAGCGCCGAGTGGCTGGGGGCGCCGTCTGGGCGTGCGCCCCCGACCTATGGCTGGCTGGTGGCACCCAGAGCCCGGGAGCGACGCGCCCCTCGGCGTGGAGCGCTCCCAGGGGCTGCGCTGAGGCGGCGGCGGCAACGGTGGCAATGCAGCCAGCGCAGCGGCGGCCGGGACCGGGAACGGCCGCTCGGAGCTTGAAGGACGCGGGACGCGCCGCGCCCCGGCCACTGACGGAGGTAAGAGCGCGGCCGCGGGCGCACGGCCCACCCTCTCGGCCCCAGTTCCCCCGCAGACAGCTTCCTGCCCCGGGTGAGCGAGGGGTGGTGCAGCAACAGGGAAGGTGAGGCAGAAGAGCTCCTTCGGTTCCTTTTTCTCCTTTCCCGTGGTGAACCACCAGATGAAATGCTGACAGAGAGCTTTTCTTCCCCTGCCATGTTTCGGGCTACAGCCACCAGGGAACTTTGCTCCGGACTAATGTCTTTCCCGGGGTGTATTGTATTGTGTGTTGCGGGGGCGGGGGGCGGCTCTCGGAAACTTTGAGGAGCTCTTGATCCCCCTCGGCCGGCTGGATTGAGGGGGCTCTTAAGGCTGCGGGCGGAGCCACTTTTGCGCGCGGCATCGGTCCTAGGCGTGACCTTACCCGACAGACCTGTGATCAAGATGAGGTACAGAGTGAGTGCACAGGTTCGGCTAGCGACCCGAGAATGCTCCCTGTTAAGAGCTGGGATCTTTGGAGTCATTTCTTTCCCACCGCCTGAGCTGTAATGGAGTAAAAATATTCTGGAGGTGGTTCTTAACCATTCATCTAGCCTGCAAGACCAGGGCACCTTTGCTGCTTAAATTTGATCTTGAGAAACCCAAAGGGGCTCAGGGCAAAGGGTCTCTCCGAGGCGCACAAGTCTATTCTGGTGTCCTGTGGGGAACTGCACCCTTTGGAAGAGGCAGCTGGGAGGGACAGCCTCTAAAGAGCTTTGGGGAAGAGCTGGAGACTGAGGCCCTTGGCACCATCCCTGCCTTAATTTGTGCACATGCCTTGTGAATACCTTAGAACTCACAAGAAAGTGTCACTTTGGTGAAGGCCTCCGGTTCTAGGAGGTTCTGCCACCCTACTGCATAGACCTGGTGGGGTTGGGGCTGCCCTTCTGGCCATCCCCAGAGTGTGATACCGTCATTGGCCCTTTCTAGTTTCTTCTTTACTACCTGTACCCAAGCCTGAAGCTGGCAGTAAAGATCTAGGGACTTCCTGGCCTTGGCATCCACCTCCTGAGCCCTGGTTAGAGGCTTCAGCTCTCTGGATTGCCTAGGTGCCCCCATGCCACTGAAATCAGCTGCCGCCTCCTCCAAGGTGGGAACCCACAAAGCTTGGTAGGCTCCCGGTCTTTACACACTCTTTGAGAGATAAGCAGAATCCCGCCCTGGCTGCTGTCCCACCTGTCTAGACTCCAGCCTGGCACTGCACCAGGTGACTGATGCGGGACCTCTCACACAAATCTGCCCGTGAACAGGAGAGGGTCAGAGAGGGGAGGCAGATCTGAGTACCAGGCTCTTCCTTAAGTATCCTTCCGCTGTATTCCCAGGAGAGCCCCTTCACGGCCTGTAGGGGAACCCCAAAGAGACTTCTCAGTGAAATCATCCGTTGTGTTCAAGGGGTCCTTCCAATTAGTCAGGAGACACAAGGGTCTCTGTCATATCAAGTGACCCTGGACAAGCTGAGCCACTTGTGAGAATGAATGCATAGCTGTGGGCATGTGGCCCACTAGATCAGCCTCAGCATAGTGGGAACGGGGAGAGGCTCAGACATCCTTAGGGACAAGGTAGGTAGTTCTGGTGTGCTGGACCATCTTCTCCTTTGAGATACTGCTATATGCATACAGAAAGTACCTTGTAAGCACAGTGTTCATACAGGACTGACATTTGTATACTTCAAGCCCTAATTGTTCCTCTCTGTCTTGGGTTGGTTGAGGACAATGGAGTGATGGATGTGTCCTCTGTTATTGGGGTCTCTAGGCAAGGTCCCCTGTAGGTGTGTGTCTAGCGGAGGGAGGTTTAGAAGGCTGTGCGCTATATTGGGAGAGGTATGTGCGGCAAGTGCTTCCAGAGCCATGCAACATGTTAGGTCAAACCAGAAGGCTTGCCTCATTTTTCCCAAATCAGAAGGCTTTCATACCAGGACTCCTGTGTTTCTCTTTGCTCTGCCCTAGGCAGGACCGGGCAGAACCGAGTGGTCCTCTAGCAGTAAACTAACATGGCAGCAATAATGGTAACTATCCTGGCCACAGTGGCACCTCTAGGATCTTCGACACTGGGGCCAGTACAGCCTGCAGACAGTTTCCTCTGGCTCTGCCAGGCATCCAGTGCCTGGGGCCATAGTTAGTATGACCAGTCATGGCACCCAAAGGCCTTGGCACAAAGCTATTGTGGAAATGACTGCGTCATCAGTCTCAGCAATCTCTGTGGTCCTTGCCAGCCCCCCCCCTCCCAACAGGGTCTGCTAGTATACTGTGAAGTTTGCTCAATAGTCACTCTCAATTCCCTGATCCTAACTCCTGCTCTGGGCAAGACCCTTCCTGCAACAGATGCAGCTGGGCCCTGTGGCTGGGCCATGTCCAGGACTGTGCTGTGAGTGAAACACGGGCCCAGTTACCCCTCCCTTCCCTGTGAACTGTCATTGGAGTCCTGCCAGGGACTGACACTGAGGAGAGGCAGACAAGGGGCAGCTTGTGGGCAGCAGGAGGGGGAAGGCTGAGCCTACGTCTAGGGAGGGTTGCTGGGGAGTGGAGGGCAAGGGGGCAGACAGCAGGGAAAAACAGTAGATAAAGCAAGAAAGAAGGGAGCTGACTGGGACTGGGCTTCAGGAATGGCGGCTGATGCTCCAGAGGAGCTGTGGTGACGAAGGGGCTTTTCCAGAGGAACTGGCCCCAGGAAGGAGTTAAGGACCCAGAGCTGGGCCAGATAATTTAATTTGTTAATGGCCTCCCAGTGCAGAAGCTTGTATTGTCTCCATTATATGGATGGGAATGGAGGCCAGGAGGTGTTGGAACTCCTTTGTGCTTCTGACCCAGAGCCTAGGGCTCTTCAGGGACAGGCTGCACCTTTCTGCTGCTCACAGACACTTTTACTGAGGGCGGTCTCTACCTCCAGGCAGTTTCCACTAAGCCCTAGGGCCTGCCTGCCTGCCTGTCTCCCAGGAAGTTGCTTCTTTGGGACCTGATGAAGGCCTGGCATGAGGTTAGTGTTCCGTAATGTTCCCTGAGGCTTCGGTGGCAGCCGTCTTGTGACATGGCCAAAGCTGTAGTGAGTGTGAGCTGGAGTGTCCAGCATACAGAAACAGTAAGGGACTGTTCAGTCAGTCGGTTTCTCTGTGTAGGGAAGATTTGGTTTTAGTTGCAGATGGGGATGTTTGGGAGGTTGGTGGAATAAGAGACACACAGGTGCTTCTCCTGGCTTCAGTTGCTGGGACTAAAGCCTGGAAGTCCTGGGATACTCAGGATGGAGAAGGGAAGAGAACCTTTAAATATACCTATAAGGATATTGAAGACCCAGGAAAACTGGGTGTCTCCAGAGGGGACCCCATGAAGAAGAGTTGTGGGCTTTTGGTGCCCAAGCCTTGGGAATCACAGTGCAGCCCAGTCTTTCTTTGGCTGCAAGGCAAACTGTTTAGAGAGAAGTGGGCTTCCATGGAGGTGGCCTCAGATGCTGGCCTCCTACTCTGGGCTGTTCCGTGTGCCCATTCTCACAGAGATATCCTAAAGCTCACGTTTTCCTGCTTAACTGCTGAGGTGACAGCTACAGGGGCAGTGTGAGGCTGTGGGGACCTCAGAGATCTTGACCCTGCATCCTCGTTAGCCTTTGGGCCTATAGTACCAAACATGGCTCCATGAGCCTGGCCAGCAGGCACAGGGATGCCTTTCTCAGCTGCCCCAGGAGCAGCTTTGCTTTTGCTGGGTATCAGCTGCTTCTTGAGGGTGGGCTTGGCCTCGTGGGTCTGGCTTGGAAGCTCCCTAGTATCCCCTACAAGCCTTGGGAAGCTGAAGGGTCCCTTCTATTCCTCACCTGTGGCCCGGTCTCTGGGAAGAACTCGGACTTGGAGATGGTTAGAGTAAAAGGTATAGAGTGACAGGCCATCGTGGCTCAGGTACCTACTGTGTGCCTGACCTGATTTGGGTGGCAGTGCTTTAGTGGTTCCAGTCTGGCCTCTCTCACTGTGTGTACTAGCTTCTGCTTCTCTCCCTGCCCTTCTTGCCATGCTTTCAACATGACAGGCCTGTGCTCCATCAGGGCCTATGCCTGTACCATTCCCTTCTCTGGACCACTCCTTCCCAGGTCTGTACATGACCCTTTCCTTTCCATCTTCATGTGCTGCCCAAATGCCACTTCTTCCCTGTAGCCCTTCCCCACAACTCCTCACAGCATCGAAGCCACGCCCCTTGCCCTCCATACCACTGTTTTCTCGCTGTAGAACTCAGTGCCATCTACCCCCAGTGCTTTATTTTTCAATGTTCTTCATTGTCTTGAGCTATAACCCCACAGATGTCCCCTTAGGCCTGTGGCAATAAGCAGCGGACAGCAGGTGCTCAGTACATACAGTGGGTGGGTGTGCGGTCTCAGCTGTGTGCTGCCTGACACGCTGTGCTCATCTTGTAGCGGCAACTGTGTGCATCTGCAGGTGAGACTACAGTCTCCAGAGGTGCCAGCATAGTTCCTGCATTGAGCATGAGCTGGGAGCCAGGGCTATGCTTTGAACCCTTGCCCTGGGATCCTGTGACTGAGCAGAAAGAATAGTTTGGACCAGTCTGGCTGGAGCCTTTCTGTTCACACTGTCTCCTGTCCAAGCCTGGCTGCCCCCAGCTTAGGAAAGCCCCACCCCAGCTGGATGGGAGTAGTGAGTCACTGTAAGTGTGAGCACACTGAGTCCAGCTGAGGTGACTTTTGGCTCCTCGCCATTCTCCTAGGTGGTGGGTCTTGCTACCTGCCTTCCTATCCAGCCTGGCCTTGAGGAGTGGCATGGGGCACGACAACTCCCACTGGCCACTGGAGTTTGGGCTGTGCTTCTTACTTTCCCGTTCAAGTTCCTTGAACATGACTAACATGTTTTATACATGTTTTAGTTCTTCAGATTTGCAGTCAACAACTTAGGCTTGTCCCCTGTTGTGAAGAAAACATGACATTTTCTTGTGGTCACTGCATGGCCTTCCTCTCCTCTCCTCAATATCTCCATGGCTTCTGGTGATTGAGT